TGCAATATATAATAGTTACAACATGTTAAGTGGAATTATGACCAGGATACTGTTTTCATTTAGAAATAAAGCATGATCCTTAGTCATCCTACCTGGATTAGACTGCTATAGTTTTCATTGCCTTTAATCACAGGACATGGTAGCACCAAGAAATGCCCTAAAGGGTCTCCTTCACTCCATACATAATCATTTCTATCTCCGTAATGGAGAAACAATCCAATTTCCTCTTGGGAATCTGGATAAATCACCCCTTCAAATACTGTTTTTCATTTCTTAGCCTGTTGACTAAAAGACATCAGAATCCCAATGTGACCAAGAGAAAGTCTGAGCTTCCAATTCAATGGAATGTTGTGTCTTATGGCAGGAGCAATTCACATTTGGAACCAGGCCAGCAGAATTTAAGGTACCCAGGAACAGTTAGCACAAGTTTTCCTAGATGTTCACTAGGTATGATAGTGAGTGGAACAATTTCCGTTTCCACCTTTTGATTCCTGTACTCATGAACTGTGGCTATCGAGAAACTGTACCATATATTTTATTCTGATTCAAGACATTTGCCACTTTTTGGAGAACTGTATCCCATGTGGCTTGGAAGCAGGTGGCATTGTAACAGAAGTAGAAATCATAGACATTTGGGGAACTTCTTCATGTGACTGACTTTTTTGTGCCCTCAGGACCTGATCAGATTATATATATATATATGTATATGTATATATATATATATATATATATATATATATATATATATAAAACATCCAATTGATTATAGATGGCTCTTGTGCATATCCTAACTTATGGATTGTCAGGTTATATAATACTCAGCCCATGAGGAGCAGCTCAGGTCAAATAGTAATTTGGTGGCTCAAAATATCAAGGTTTTCTCTATAATTCATAGACTGGGACCTGCTAAAGGCTCCAAACAGCATCCCCATCTGCCACTGACGCCTCAAGTTCCATCATGGTCCAAGTGCTAGAGCAGCCTGCATGGCAGCCTGGACCTCTTGAAGAGTGTCTCCTGTCCCCAGCCTCCCACAAAGCTAGCAGCTTTCCTGCTTGACATATGGGCTGGAGTAACACACCCAAGTGAGGAATGTGCTGTATCCAGGATCCAAATAGGCCAGTAAATGTTGTGCTTCTTTCTTGGTAGTGGACGATAAGTTACTGATGGGGGAAGGTCATTGGCTAATAAAGAAACTGTCTTGGCCATTTTGATAGGCCATCCCTTAGGTGGGTGGAGTAGGCAGAACAGAATGCTGGGAGGAAGAGGAAGTGAGCTAAGACGCCATGCTCCCCTCTCCTGGGCATACTTGATGAAGCTCCAACCCAGGATGGACGTAGGCTAGAATCTTCCCGGTAAGCGCACCTTGGGGTGCTACACACATTATTAGAAATGGGCTAGTCCTGGTGCAAGAGTTAGCCGAGAAGAGGCTAGATATAATGGGCCAAGCAGTGTTTAAAAGAATACAATTTGTGTGTTGTTATTTCAGGGCATAAACTAGCCAGGCTGCTGGGAGCTGGGTGGCAGGAACGCAGGCCTGCAGCTCTTACAACAAGTTACGAGAAATATCTCTGCATGCCCCAATACCACTGGACTCCTGGAAATTTCACTGAGGTTAGAAGCCTCTGAATTTTGGTTGGATTTATTTCACATCTTCTGATGCATATATCTGCCAACTTCTAAGTATATCTATCCCAGTTATACATTCTGTAACTGGGGAAACAATAGTAACTAGTTCACACTATTAATGCTCTTCATGTTTCTAGGAGAGACTTCAGAAGCTGCCAGTATAGCGATTTCAAAAGACTTCCAGATACTTTGTATTTCATTCTTCCAGTACTGTTTCTCTAGTACCACTCTGGTACCACAATGGTTACTAGTGGGCTCTTGCAACAGAATTATATCTTTTTGAATATTTGGCATTATTCTGCTATTATTTTATTGAATATATTTTCGTGTCATCAACTTCAGATATACCAAATATGTTTTATTTGATCGTGTAATGCTATCTAAGTGAGCATGAATACTGTTCTCAATCTTTCTTTTCTTTTTTTTTGTCTAAATACATTATTTTGAAAGACTTGTCTTTATACTGTGATTATTTTAATGTGACTAATCTAGTGTTCTATAAAGATTTTCAACTGAATTCTTTATCTGATTCACTGAGATTTTTCTGTGTTAGTTTTCTTTTTGTTATGGGGTGATACAACTTGGAATTTTCAACGGTGGTGGTTCTCACATGACATTTCCCCTTTAACTCTCCTATTTGGCCTGTAAGGCAGGTGGATTGTGACAGAACACCATGACCAAGGTAACTTACAAAAAAAGCATTTAACTGGCTTCTGGTTTCAGATGGTTAGAGTCCATGATGGTGGAGCAAAGGCTTAAAGGCAGGAACAGCTGAGAGTTAACATCTTAAACTGAAAGCAGGACACAAAAAGCAAATTAAAAATGGCAGGAGTCTTTCAGAACCTCTAGTACACACACACACACACACACACACACACTCACACACACGCACACCACAGTATACCCCTCCTGACCAAGACCATACCTACAAATCTTTCCCAAATAGTTCTACAAACTGGGAACCAACCATTTAGACATGTGACTGTATAAGGGTGATTCTCATTCAAACCACCACATTCCATGCTGTGACCTGCAGAGCATATCATAATGCAAAGTGCATTTTGTCCAACTTCAAAAGTCTCCAAAGTCTTTCTGCCTCAACAATGTTTCAAATCCAAAGGTCAACATCTTTTCTGAGACACAAGGCAAACTCTTAATAGTAAACCCCTGTAAAATCAAATAGCAAATCGCGTGTTTCCATAGAACATGTTAGAAAATATACATTACCATTCCAAAAGGGAGGAACCAGAGCATAGTTAGGAAATACCGGACCAAAGCAAAACTGAAATCCACAGAAGAAACCTGCAGGTCCTCTAGCTCTGTATCTGATGTCAGATGACTTAGATGGCTCTACCCTTCCAGCTTTACTGTCTGAAAAAAAACTTCTCTCTCCTAGACTGATTCTACTTCCTGTGCTCAGTTCTCCCTGGCAGGTATCTGAGGGCTTTGGTACCTCAAACATTTTAGAGTCTCTAACACAATGCAGGTTTCACTTTTACAGCTTAATGACTTCTCATGGTCTCCATCCAAGGAATCCCCAGCCATATGCCTGCCCTTAGTGGTTCTTCTTAACCATGGAGGAAGATTCTACCACCCCCCCTCCTTACTATGCATTCTCATGAATCTAAACACAGAGCCACATGAACGATAAGGTATTACCATGTTTAATTGTCTACTGGGGTTGAACCCCTGGCTCCTTTAAATGATTTATGCACCAGCTTTGATTGCTTGTTGCTTTTTGGAGCAGAAAATTCCTTAGACCTTTTTCTTTCATGACTTGGAAGCCTAGCTGGGCAGGGTCTTGCTCTTAAAGCACCCTTTCCTTTATTCTGATTCAGATTAGGCTTCTCCTTAATCTCTTCATCTCTTTAAGAACAAGTCTTAAGTAAAATTTCTTGTTACTCCTTTTCAAACTTGACATTTTTATTTCTTTTTGTCCCACTTCTATATTAAACCTCTGTCAAAGATGTTACTCCACTGATTTTTCTCTTTACTTAGTTGATGGTTTCCTTTGCTGTACAGAGGCTTTTGTTTTTATGAAGTCTTGCTTATCTTCTTGGCCTTAATTTTGGGGCATACAGAATTCTATTCAGAAATTTCTTCCCTGAACCTGTCTTGAAGAGTGTAGGACTTCCACTATTTCATCTTTTACACTGAGATGGTTGATACATTTACTATTAAAGTTTGTGCAAGGTGCTAGATATGGGTCTAATTTCATTCTTCTATATGTGGACATTTAGTTTTCCTAGCACCATTTATTGAAGACGCCACATTTTCTCTAATGTATGTGTTTTTTGCCTTTTTTACTAAGTATCAAATGACTTTAGTTAATACATTCATATTTCAGTCTTCTCTTTTGTTCCATTGGGCTACATGTTTGTGTTTTTCAATGCCTGATTAATTTATCATTAATGTCCAGCATTTTTTCCATATTTTATTAAACTGTTTGAAATTTCACACGTTTTATTGATCTATTAAAAATCATTATGAGGCAAGTGATGCCTCCAGTTTGATATACCTGAATCTCTTGGGTGAGAGCCATGAAATTTTTATATGTCATATTACCTTTTTGTGAATTCCTATCTTGATATTTTCACATATGCGGGGATATTCTATTGATCTAGTAAGGCTTTCTCAGTAAGTAGATTTCTCTTGGTGATGTATTTGGGATATCGCATTGTTGCGTAATGATGATTTTATTTCCAATTTGATATTGTTGCCATTCCTCTGTAGTTTCTCTGGCTATGGTTAGTCCTTTTATATACAATGCATGTTATATCAGAGCTAAGGAGACCCACTATCTTTGCAGGTTTTTAATTCAGTAGAAGGGGTGTGGACAACATAGTACTAATATCCAGTATTCGCAACAATGCACAACCAGATAAAATGCAGCAGTTATAATGTGTCAAAGTGCAAGAATAAATGACTATGAATCAGTACTACATGAAAATCTTTATCAATTCTTAAGTCAAGGCTTAGATAATAGCATGTAAAAGGAAATCAAAAGAATGTAAGAGATCAAGTTGTGAAGGAGATATGTTGGGGGAAATCACAAGGGGGCAGGAGGGGTTTAGATATAAACAGGATACATGTATAAAATTTTATAAAGAATAAATAAAAATATTAGAAAACAAATAAATATACAAAGATTATAAAATATTACTAGACTAGGTTATAAAATAGCAATACTTAAAATGTGCAATGAAAGAAATTCCAAGTCAGAAATTCAACAAAGAATTTAAAGCATAATAAGGTATTTATCAGGGCCTAAACTGAGAATGCTGCCAAAAGAATTCCCTACTCGACAGTTACCTTTTCAGAAAGTGTTTCACTAAGATCAATACACAGATGCTGGTGCAACTGTCGTTCACAGGGTCCAAGCTCCATCTAGATACTGCAACTAAACTTGGCAGTGTTGGCAATGTGGTTCTGGTTTGGTGTGCATGAGAGTTGGAAACACTGAGGAGGTCATGGGGACTTGCACCATGATTCCAGAGAGCTGCTGAGGCCAGACAATGTGTGAAACGTTTGGAGTCCCTGAAGAGGGTGCTGTGAGACCATTGTATGAAGCTGTGAAAATTAAATGTGTGGAGAGCCCAGGATTATGAGATGTCAAAACCATGGGATATGGACTAAGAAAAGCTGCAGACAAGGAAGAAATCTGACTCAATAGAGAAGTTGTATGTGCTTTCAGAAGCAGAAGCAGAGGAAGAGGAGTGGGGCTACCTAAGTAAACCATTTTTAATGGATGTGATTTCATCATGGGCCCCAGATAGCAAACAAAACTTCGGGATTTGGCATTTGCTCTGCTGAGTTTCTATCTTTGGTGTGATCATTCCTTGTTATGTTCTTGTTCTTCCCTTTGAGTTAGGAACGTTTGTTCTATGGCATTGTATTTGTTTAAGTAATATATTTTTATTTTACTTGTTTTAATTTGCATTTATTTGTTTATTTTGTTTTTGTGTGGGTACATGGACACATACACACCATGCAACACACTTGTGCGCATGCGTGAGTGTGCATGTGTATACACACACGCACACACACTGTGATTATCTGTTTGTGGAGGCTAGAGGACAACTTGCAGAAATGAAGAGTCAGTTTTCTCCTCCCAGCATGTCATTCCCAGGGTCAAACTCAAGTTGTCAGTTATGGCAGCAAGTGCCTTTACTCACCGAGCCATCTTGTTGCCCCCTCCCTTTTTAACAGAAGGTTATAGTTAAGAAATTGCTTTGAATTTCAAATGAGACATGGACTTTGCATTTTAAAATAATGTGTTGGAACTGCTGAAGAGTATGAGAACTTTAGAAATAGGACTTGAGGATTGCCTTTGGTATTATGAGACAACCATGAACTTATGGGAACATATAATAAAAGGATATTACTTAAAAGTAATGTTTGGAGGGCTTGAAAGATGGGTCACTGGTTAAAAGCACTAGCTTCTCTACCAGAGGGCCTGGGTTTGATTCTTAGCATTCAAATGGCAGCTCACAACTATCTATAACTCCAATTCTGGGAAATCTGATGTCCTCTTCTGGCCTATGAAGGCACTGCATGTGCATGGTGCACAGGCACACATGAAGGAAAAACACTCAAAGCACATAGTAATACTATTTTTAAGTAATATGTTTCTATGTCAAGTCGACAGCGGATGGACTTGTGATAGTCTATATTGTTTTCTAATTTTGCAGGATCTAGAAGCACTGAGAGAACAAATCTCTGGGTATGTCTGTTTAATTGATTTAATTAACAGAGGTGGGAGAACTAGTCTAACTGCCCAGCTGAATGAAAAGGAGAAAGGAAACTGATAATCAGAGTTCATTTCCTGTTGCTTCCTAAATGCAGATGCAATGTGACCAGCTAGCTTCCTTTTTCTTCCATTTCTTGTTTTGTTTTGTTTTACCAGACAGGGTTTCTCTGTGTAATAGCCCTGACTGTTCTGGAACTCACTTTATAGACTAGGCTGACATCGAACTCACAGCTTCTGTGTCCCAAGTACTGGGATTAAAAGCATATGCCACCACCACCCAGCTGTTTCTTCCATTTCTATTGCCATGTCTTCCCTGCTATGATGGAATGTATTCCCTAGAACTGTCAGTCAAAATAATCTCCTTAAATTGCTTCTTGTCAGTTATTTTGACACAGCTATGAGAAAAGTAGCTAATATAGTGTGGACAAGGTGGTGACTTGGGGAAATTGTGGAGTTTAATATGATGACCATGGGCTAACCAGAAGGAGATAGGTACAGACAGACCATTCAAGTAGCTGAGAATAATAAGTAAACAGATGTGTCTTGAGGAACCCTGATTCCGTGTGGTTTACAAGCAACTCTGCTATACCAGGGCTCACAAATACTCTGTGTGAGCCATAGTTCACCTTCTGCCTTCCTTTATTGTTACATTTTTTCCCCATTGGGCAAAGATTAAATATACCACACACAATCATACGAGAACCAACAGCATTTAATCCCTGAGTAGTAGCATGGACATATTGCTGTTCAGTCTGGTTCAGGCATAGGAGCAAGAAAATGACACTTAGTCATTAATGGGGGAAGGAACGGATTCAGATGGATCTTGAGGCTTTGAAGATGAAGTACTAGCATCAGTACTTGAAAGAACACGGCGTCTTCCCTTGTGATGACCCCAGGCACAGAGTATATGACAGTTGTCATCATCTTCTTTTTCACTTTCTGAAGAGCTTTCACCAAAAGCACGTGGCTTCTCATAAACACAGCAACATTTGGAAGAGCGACGGCCCAAGTGCTCATTATCAATAGTGTCACTTGACCACTCAACCCTCTTGCCTGACTTTGCCTTCTCTAATGGGTTGGACAGATTGGTATTTTTGAGCTCATTTTCCAGTTCAACTGTGGGCTCTGAGATGACTTCGGTCAGCTTAGATGTTGGCTCTTCCATAGCAGAACTGGAAGCAGGACAGAGGAGAGGAATCGATGTATTCAAAGAGTCTGAGGAAATAGGAATTTGAACCCAGTTAGAGTCACAATTAGAATGTAATGTTACTCTTGTTTTTGTCTTAACTTTCTCACCCACAGGTACCCAACTTACTGTTGTTTCTTAGTTTCTTATTTGTTTAAAATCAAGTCTTGAAATCACAGAAAGTAGTTTGGTTCCCAGGGAAGTGGCAGAAAGGAAATCTTGGCCAGACTACTTCAATCTCCTGTAAGATTAAAAAGCAAATAAATGACACTTTAAAATGCATGTCTTTGTGAAAATTAGCTTAGAGAAATCACCATACGGATCTTAATTTCTGAATTTTGAGTAATAACAGACACACAAAGATCAATATTTATTTATGTGTATAAAAAATGTTTCTCTGTTTGAGTATGTCTATGGCTTACTGTGTGGCCTACTGCGATTGTTAAAGACATGGTTGGAAAAGAACTCAAATGTCACACTACTAAGGGAATCTGAATTTCATAGTGAAATCCTTCTAGAATTATTACTTTATTATGAAAAGAATGCAATTTACTGTGTATCTTAAGTTTTAATGAAGTATCAATGTGAAGTCAGAAAATGGATACTTTAGAGATTTTGAGATTTAGTTAGTAATATAGATGAGTAATTACACATTAACTAACATTATTACTAGTGATAAACAGAAGGAAGACAATTGGCAATAACGTAATCATTTAAAAGGGAAAATCACTTGTTATTAAAGGTGGACATGAATTACAATGTGGGTGACACCAGATCTGATGACAATAAGGACAAGACTAAGCCAGGGAAATTAGCAAGCTAAAAATCATTGGGTCTAGAAAATCAGAATCCCTGTGTTTTAAACGGCCCACATTATATACATACCCATTTACTTAGGATCTCCAACAGGTCTTTCTGGTCTTATCTAGGTATTCTGTCATCAGACATCCTTAGGAGACCAGCTTTGTTGCTGCTTTCTTGTGCCTGTCTCCATGACAACTAAAAGACACAGATAGAATGTATGCTTCTATCTCCTAAGAAACCTGACTATGAGTAGTCTAACTACTGATTGACTTGAAAAATAGTTTACCTTGTACCTGTTTGTTTCATAAGGGACCAGATCTCTAAAACAAAAACAAAAAACAAAAGAAACCCTCAGAACCTTTGCAGTCATTTCCATTCCTGTCACTGATTGACAGGGCCTGAGAATTTCATTTATCATATGCATCTGTTAAAGCCCCCAACCATACCCTTTAAGGCTAAGGTTGAGTCCTTCTCTGATATTCACCTCTGGATTGCTTCTCTTAACTAAAATCGTGTTTGGACAACCCGGGGTTTGTCCTTCCACCACTGGGGGCCCAGGGTCCCTTAGATTCTCCTTTCTCTTTTCTTTTTTCCCTGCTGTGAAAGGATGCTCAGAGTGGCCTCTGGTGTCTCTGACTTCTGAGTCTCCCTGACCGGATCCAATCAGGCTGTAGCCCCCACCTGTAGGCAGAGAATGCTTTACTACAGGTCCTGTGGTGTTCCCTGTCAATTTACACCCTGCCTGTATGGGGAGGCATACTGTTATAGGCCTTATGGTGTCACCGTTTCATGTTTTTTTTTTTTTTTTTTTTTTTTTTTTTATGATTTCATCTTTGGGTTTTAAGCCATTCAATCCTTCAATCTGTCCTTCCCTCTGGTTTGCCTTTTATAGACCCTATAACCCCAGGTTTTAATGTCCCCTACTTACAGATTCCCACATTTGTCCATCTTTTTTTTTTTTTAAATGGCCTCATTACAATTTAGATAACAATCTAAAGTGGCCATCTAATGGCACCTTTGATCCCAATATTTTACAGGAGCTTTCTAACTACTGTCAGCATACCGGCAAGTGGAAGGAGTTTTCTTACATCCAAGCCTTTAACTATCTAAGCTCTAAGACTAAGCCCTCTGTCCTTTCAAGTTGTTTGCCTGCTCACGTGTTACTTGCTATGCCATCTGAACCGGAAGAATCTTTCACTTCTGCTCTGGATCCAGCTAATGAACTTCTGCCTTTTTGACCTCAGTGGGCAGCTATCCCCATTCCTCCTGTCCCTATCCCTACTCCTTTAGCTCCTACCACTGTCCCTCCAGCTCCTACCCTCATTCCTCCAGCTCCTACCCCTGCTCCTTTAGCTCCTACCATCATCTCTCCAGCTCTTACCCCCATTCCTTCAGCTACTGCTCTGGACCCTGCTTAGGAATCCACACCTTCTTCACCTCAGCAGACAGATACTTCCACTCCTTTACTTCCTGCTGCCTCGCCACCTCCCTCCACTCACTCTTCAGCTTTCTTTCTCTCACACTAACTACTCCATCAGCCCCGCTGGACCATTGTTCCTCTCCGATGCCTGGCCGCAACAGTCGCCTGGCTCTGGCACCCACCTTTACCCCTCCTCTCACATACTCACATGCTGCTATGGAACCCAACCCTGACCAAGTCAAGCTGTCTGCTGTTCTCCCCTTGTGAGAGGTGGTTCGTATAGATGGATTGATTAGGGAGGGTACACATTCCTTTCTCACTCTCAGAACTCTCCCATATAGAACAAAAACAGGAGTCCTATATGGATAATTCTACCACTTTCATAAAACAATTCCTATATATTACCCAGTCTTGTAATCTCACCTTTCATGACATCTCTACGAGCCTATCTAATAACCTACTTCCTGAAGAGCATAGACAAGTTTGGGAGCAGGCCAGACTACATGTAGACATTATTCACCAAACACATGCAACATACCCTCCACGGGCAGAGGTGGTCCCTGAGCAGGAAACTCACTGGGACTATAACACTCCAGGTGGAATTTTAGTTAGGGACTGATTTTTGACTTGCCTCCTGTCAGGTCTCTACAAAGCTGCTCTTAAGCCAGTAAACTATAATAAGCTCTCAGAGATCATTCAAGATACGAAGAAAAATCCTTCTGCATTTTTGGAATGCCCCACTAAAGCCCTGTTACTATATACTAACTTAGATCCAGAAACCATGGAAGGCAGATAGTTACTCATGACTCATTTTTTTTTCTTCAGTGCTATCCTGACATTAAGGCCAAACATAGGTTTTTGGAAGAGGGCCCCTTGACTCTGCAGGCAAGAAGTCTTAGAGTTGGCTTTTAAGGTGTGCCATGCAAGAAATGACAAAGCCCACAATCACTGTCATGTGCTAGCCATGGCCCTCTGACTAGCCGAGGTGACAGATCGCCTAATTTGTGCTGTCTGTGTTTCTCTCCTGCCACACAGGGCTCAAGAACCACCAGGACTGTGTTTCAAATGTGGTAGAACTGGTCACAGGGCCCGAGCATGCCCTAATCTTCATCTTGGTCCCAAGAGACCTTGTCCAAGATGCCATAGGGAAGGACATCGGGCAGTTGTTTGTCCTCATGCACACAGTGCATGGAAACAACAAACTCAGAAAATTCCCAAGTTGACCTTCTAGGTGTGGCCATGGATGAGTGAGGCCACCCAGGCTCCTTTGACCCAACCACAATTGTCATCTATGACAGGGAGCCATGGGTGAACATCACTGTATCAGGACAGCCCATCTCCTTTCTCATGGACACCTGAGCCACATACTTGGCACTGAGGGAATTCTGGGGGCCTACCTCTCCTTCTAGTTTCCCTAATTGTCGGGGTAGGGAAATAGCCTTATCTACCTCAGCAGATCCCACCACTTAACTGTGTTTTTAGGAATATATATCTCACTCATTCATCTTTAGTCATGCTAACCTGCCTGGTACCTCTTATGGGAAGAGATTTTTTAGCAAAAGTAGGAGCTTCCATTTCATTTGCTCCTTCTTCCAGACTTGCCAGCAGCTCCCCTCCTCCTTTCTAGCCTCCAAACCTCCCAGCCCCAATATGTCTTTTTCTCTACCAGCCTCTCAGGAAAACAAACCCCCAAGTATGGGACACCTAAAACCCCTCTGTTGCTAAACACTATTTCTCCATCATTATCCAATTATAAGACTCTACTAAATACATTACCCAAGCTCAGTACCCTTCTCTCTCCAGAGCCTTAGGGACTTAAGTGTATTATCTCTGACCTTCTAAGAAAAAAGCCTCACCTCTTCTCCCTTTAACACCCATATACTTGCTGTTAAAAAAAAACCTAATGGAACCTATCACCTGGTTTAAGTCCTCTGGCTCATTAACTCTGCAGTGGTCCCTCTTCATCCTGTAGTGCCTAACCCTTACACACTTCTTTCCCCTATTCCTCCAGGAACCTACCACTTCTCAGTTCTAGATCTCAAGGATGCTTTTATCTCTATTCTTCTCAGCTCTCAATCTCAAAATATCTTTGCCTTTACCTGGACTGACCCTGACACTCACCTTTCCACACAGCTCACATGGACCGTCCTTCCTCAGAGATTCTGGGACAGCCTGCACCAGTTTGGTCAGGCTTCAGCTTCTGATCTACTTTACCTGTCTCTCCTTAAGTCTAAACTCATACAGTATGTACATGATATTTTACTCTGCAGTCCATCCTTGGAGATTAGCAAAATGGATACCTCTGCTCTTTTAAATTTCTTGCCTAAAAGGGGCTATAGAATCTCACCTTCTAAGGCCCAACTGTCTACCCCTCAGGTCATTTACTTGGTATTAACTAGTAATTTTTGGGTTGGTATTATCCCAACCCAAAAAGCTATTACCCTAGACAGAAAAAAGCTAATTCAGTTTCTTGCAGTTCCTTCTACAAAAGAAGAAGTTGTATCATTCCTAGGAATAGCTGGCTTCCTGTGTTCCTGGATCCCCTCTTTTTCTCTCCTTGCCCACCCCTTTTATGAGGCAGCTCTCAGCTCTCTGCATGAGCCCCTTCTCCATACCATTACTAAACCCTTCTAGAGACTCCAACAAGCCCTTATACATGCACCAGCTCTTCATCTTCCAGATTTAACTCATCCTGTCTACCTCTATGTAACAGAGAAGAAGGGATATGACCTTGGGGTCCTAGGGCATCAGCTGGAAACTTCCTTTGCACCTGTAGAGTACCTCTCAAAGAATCTGGACCTCACCACTCAGGGCTGGGCACCCTGCATGCATGTTTTAGTGGCTGCTGAGTTTCTGATTCATGAGTCAAAAAAAAAAAAAAAACTAACCTCTGTGTCACCCAACACTGTCTTCTCACACCACAATCTGTCCCATATCTTAACATACAAACCTTACCCCCTTCCCAAGTTTTTTTCCCTCCAGGTGGCACTAGTAGAAGATGCCACACTCACTTTCCAACGATGCCACCCCTTAATATCTCAAATCTCCTACCTCAACCTAAGGTTAATTATTTCCCATCTCATTCCTGCATAGAAACCTTAGAGAATCTACTGTATATCTCACATATACAGGAGGGAAAACTATTACAAGCCACTTATACCCAGTACACAGATGGCAGCTCCTTTTTATGTGAGGGGACCCATAGAGCAGGCTATGCCATAGTGTCAGATACTGGGATAGTGGAGGCACAGCACTCCCTGCCCAAACCACTAATCAGCAGGCTGAGTTAATTGCCTTCCAGTTAGCAAAGGGACAATCTTTATGCAGATTCCAAATATAGATTTCATATCCTCCTGTCCCACACAGCTATCTGGAAGGAATGTGGGCTTTTTATGAAAAAAGGAAGATCCATAACTAACTCAGGTTACATTATGGACTTGTTAAAAGCCTCCCATCTCCCCAAAGCTATAGGAATTATTCACTGTCAGTCTCATCAGACAGACAGTTCCATTATTTTCATGGAAAATAACTGGGCTGACCAAACAGCCAGAACAGCAGCATTCCATAGCCCAAACCTACCCCAATCACCTCAGGGGGTTCATACAGTACAGCCCACATTCTCGCAGATACCCCCTGATACCTGGCAAATTCTGTCCTACCTACATCAGCTCTTTCATTTTAGTAGCAAAGCTCTATTTAATTTTGTCAGGACTCACCTCCAACCCACCCCTGAGGACTTAGAGTTCTTAAAAGCTATCACTGCCTCTTGGCAAATTTGTCAAAAGTCAGATCCCAAGACCAAATATTGTAGCTGCCCTTTACCCACCCACCAGGCCTGGGGCTCCCTTCCAGAAACTGATTGGCAACTTGATTTTACTCATATGCCCACAGTCAGATGAGTTAAATATCTCCTGGTTTTGGTGGACAGCATTTCTGGGTGGATTGAAGCATTTTC